TGTAATCCAACAGAACAGCTCCTAGTCACATGTGGCCAAGCACTTGAAATGTGCTGGCCCAAATTAAGGTGAACCCATGGATTTCAAAGACTTAGTGTAAAAAAAATCATATAAACTATCTCATTCATAATTTTATATTGTATACATGTGGCATTTTTTGATATATGGGGTTAAAGTACAAATAATATTGCAATTAATTTCTTTCTTTTTAAAATGTGATTAATGGGACATCCAACTGCACAGGTGGCTTGCATTATGTTCCTGTTGGGTAGCATGGTCATACTACTGCAGAAGACTTCTGCCTGCTAGTCTCATTTTTTTTTTTTTTTGGTTGGGGGAAGGGGATACCAAGGATTGAACTCAGGGGCACTTCACCACTGAGCCACATTCCCAGCCCTATTTTGCATTTTATTTAGAAACATGGTCTCACTGAGTTATTTAGTGCCTTGCTTTTGCTGAGGCTGGCTTTGAACTGGTGATCTTCCTGCCTCAGCCTCCCTAGCTGCTGGGATTATAGGTGTGCAACGTTGCGCCCTGCTAGTCTCGTGGTTTTTGAGACAGGTTGAGGGCACCCTCCAGGGAAGAAAATAAAACGTAAAGGCAGATGGGCCTATCAGTTGTGATTAAGTAATTCTTCCAGGTTTTAGGTGTTTAAATATTTGTTCTGAAAATTTCACTTTGGAAGTTAAATGCCTAGGTTCAGTGTTCAGGGATGAGTAAAATATTGATAGTTTGGGATGTTGCATGCAGTTTTTTTTTCTTTCTATCATTTTCAGAGTTGCCAATGCATATCTTAGATTCCGGAATATCCTTCTGTAAGCTCTTGTTTGCATATAGCAACACTAAAAAAGATGCCTTAGGAGGAAGTGAGACTTTTCTGTTCTAGAGTGGGCTGTTTGACCTGAAATTATGGGAAGTAAGTAAAGCTAACTCTTATTGGAAATTAAGACACCTGGGTCGCTTGATGCCAGCGCTAATCTCCAAGAAGGAAAATAAAATATCAAACTGTAACAAGTATGGAAATAATATTCAATGACTCGGGAATTCTAAGAGATTAGCTAGTTTGGGCAAACAAGCTCTAGATAGAAAGTAAGGAGACTCAACTTCAAGTATTTTTTAAATTAAAAATTATTTGAAGTTTAATTCAACTTAAAAATCATCCTATTCTGAGACAAGGACATTTTACAAGGCTGACCCACTGAACCAGGTCTCCTTTCTTTGCTGCCGCTCACGAGCAGCACCTTCGGCAGTCTCCTTTCCAGCCATAGTCAACTCCATCACTTTCTTCCTGGAGCAGGGAATGGAGCCTGGCGTTTGGGATCCAGACGCCTAGCACAGTCCCCAGGTGCCGTCTTCCTACATCCAGCACGACTTCGGGTGCCCTGGACTTTTTCTTGTCTGGTGAGAGAAGACGTGGAAATACACACTGGGGATTCATGAAGGTGAGGCAGCTGTGCGTTTGGGTTTCATAGAGCATAAGGAACGAGGAGTAATTCCACCGGGAGGGACAGTGTCATAAGAAAGAAGAAATGGGATGCGGGGCTGATTTTTTCCTAGGGCTGGAAAACATGCCAGATATCGTAGCAGAGACAGATGGCGAGGCAGATGCTGGGAAAGAAAAAATGACTTACTACTAGGTGAACCAGAAAAAAACGAACGAGCAGGACAGAGGAGAGAGTACCCCTCTGCTGTCAGGAACGTCTCCCCCTGGCCCTACACGGTCTGATTGTGCTGCTGCTGGGTGGCAGATTGCGGGGAAGTGCTTTGCGCCTTCCTACCCACCGAACCCTTGGCATTCACAGCCATCCACTGTGGAGCTTGCTCTTTGCATGCTGGTTTTCCAGGGAAGAGTGGGAGGCTGAGGCTAATTGGCTCTGGGAGGCCAGGAGATGGTGAGGGAGACGCTGCTGCTGGGCTTTTTTCTGGCTCCGTTGGTTGTACATGGCATTGCAGAAACTGGATGGAACTCATCCTGGTTTAATTTAGGAATCCCCGATGAACATCGTCCCAGGGTGTACGAATCACACCAGTGGGGATGGAACTCTAGGCACGTTCAAGCGGAAGTCCTTTGAAATGTGACTTGGAGATGCCGATGTGGGCACATGTGACCCTGGCCATTTGCAGGGTTAGATCTGGGCTAGATCCGCACTCTTGAATGCCATGCCAATGGGTAATCAGTGATGGGCATGAGAGAGTTGACTTGGGCTGGGCTCTCAACTGGAAAGTGCTTGGGTCCCCAGGTGTAATATAAATGCTTCAGGAAAATTGTAAGTCAGTGTGTGTTGTGACTTCATGGAGTTGACAAGGAGTGGCTGGAACCATCTGCAGAGGCTGAGGATCTGCGGTTTATACATGCAGATTTTATGCATGAATGTTAGACCACGCGTGATTGGCAATCACTATGCCATTGCCTGTATTAAACAGAGATGGATGTCACTGAGCCTAAAATAGCCACTGTGAGCTGTCGGAAGGAGAAAACTGTGTGAACGAGATTAAGGATTCCCCTGCCATTAGGAACAAAGTGCTGACAAGTATCTGATGGTGGTTTTGTCACTGTATCTGGTGAAGAAATTAAACAAATAACTAATGGCTGTAGAGTAACACTGAATAACAGTTACTGATGGGTTTTGAAGGGTAACTTTGGTTATTACAACATTTACCTTATGTAAGCTGTAGAAACTCTAGGGGCGTCTACCTCTTTGGGTAAATCTCACTGCATATATACAGCTTCCTTTTACGCACACACACACAATTTACCAAATCATTGCAAAAAACAAATCTTAACAACATGGAATCCAGAAATAGCGAAGACTTCATCTGTCCCCGAGGTTTGGAGGAGCAGATGCAGCCAGGTCCACCTTGTCTCTTTGCTTCCTGTGTCTTGAGCAGGACTTTTCTCTGTTATAGTAAAGCAGGAAAAAATTAATTGTAAAGAACGTGTTTCCAGAGACTAGTCCCAAGCTCTGGCATTTCCACGGGGTCCACCTGGGACCGACAGGTACCCTGAGTTGGAGGACACCATTTCTGAGGGCTGTTTCCGTCTAGCAGGTGAGCACCGCCCATGGAGCACCTTTGCTGAGTTCTCCAAAAGAATCCTCAGAGCGTGGTGGGCCCGCTGGGGTGGGCCTCTCACCAGGCGTGCAGGCCAGCAGGTGACCTCCTGCCCTGTTACCACGCTCCTGGCCCTTACCCACCCGTGGCCAATCTCCATTTCTTAATATCCTGCCTTCTGCTTCTGAGTCTGGACAATGACTCATCATAGACTAGCTTCCTATCTCTCTTTGTGGAGGTTTATGTGAGAAACTTAGGGAGAGTATAAATTTTCTCTAAGTCCAGCAGAAGCAAGACACTGCCTCAGTTACAGACAGCAGTAATCTATTTTTGTTTTAATACTTTGAAGCTCCCTTCTAAGGCATTTCAACACATGATGAGTGTTTACATAAGAGACACCATTATCTTGCTAGTGTAGCATAGTTTGAAAATTTCCTACACACACACACACACACGCACACACACGCACACACACGCACACACACGCACACACACGCGGTGCAAATTATGATTCCTGTTTGAGAGACTGCTACAATATATCCCTAAAATTAAAGGTAGGGTTGAGATAGGGGAAAAAAATTCCTGAAGACTCTCATAGGGTCTGCTGTCCTGTAAATGCACATGGTGTAATTGCTAAGGACACAGTTCCAAAGAGGAAAATAGTCACAAGGCACTTAAACTGTGAAGCCACTTTAGTGCTTCTAAGTGGCATTTTATTTGATGCTTTTTTCTGACTAGCTTTAGTGCTGTTTTAGTGTGTCATTGAGAATGATCTGATATATTATCCTTGCAATGATAACTTTGTATACTAATGAAATGTTTATGGTTTGCTTTATCAACCACCTGATCTCTTCTCTGACAAAGATATGCARTCTTATGTCATTTCCATGGATAGTTCCCAACAGGGATGCTGCATTTAACTCCTAATTTACCCAGAATCAAGAAAGCAGAAAATTCTAGGAGAAAATTTTATACATAAACATGTTCCATGAAATTGCTTATGCTCATAATTGCCATCCATATGTTCTTTGATCATCTATACTTTTCTATAARTTCTATAACCCTACAGCAAGAATAAATATCAACAGAACCCCATTTATCATACGACCCTTCACTTCCTTTCAGATGATCAAAGACAAAAATTACCCTCAGTGCAATTTTATTCTAATTCTTTGAAAAATTGATAAACCATATCACATTGTAAAACTCAAATCACCCAAACATCCCTTCTCTTTCCCCATATCTCCACTCTCTGTCGTCTCAGTTAAATGACAACCTCGATGATGAACCTCAACTAATTAGAATATACTTTACATTATCCTCTCAAACCATCTTCTTTCTCAATCGTCCTAAATAGGTTTGGCAAACAAATGTCAATTGAAGAACATCTTGTTTTACGAATAAGCTGTGTTCTTCTGGCAGTCATAATAGAAAGGAGATAGGACGTCTCGGCTTCTCCAGGACCTACATCAAAACTACGGTGAGGCGTCTTATTTAGAGTGGTCCCTCCTGCCCAGCCTCCTCTCAGGGTACCACTAGCGCTTGTCACCACAGGTTGRAAGCTAATCAGACTTGGAGTCATTGTAAAATACAGGTCCCCCAGAGGACTCACTCTGAAATAATGATGGCCAGTTACAGTCTCCCCCTCCAATTAATTTCATTGTTTTAGTTGATAAGATCACAAAMGTGAAATAAACCAGGAAAAAAAAAGAGCACTAACCAACAGGAGTCACAGCCTAATGCCTTCAGTGCTAGGAGAGAAAAACGGAGACGTCACAGCCTTGGCTGTCAGGGGAAATACTGAGCCTAAAGGAACCCATCAGAGAGTTTTCCATTTTTCTTATTCAGTCAGACTAGTCTGTATATATTTCATTTCCAACTGTGAGTAGACTGAGCCCTCAAGCTGGAATCGATAGTTCTAGAATTTTCTATGGACTCTCTTCACTCACCTTCCATGGGCGTGTTGCTGTCTGGACGGTTTGCAAAGACGACGTCCACATACTCCAGCTGCAGCCTTTGGAGGGAGCCCTTCAGTCCTGGGAGCAGAAGCAGGAAAAACAAAAAGTAAGTACATACACTACTGCAAAGAGTTTAAGTTTGGTTTCCTTCAAGAATTTACTTCAAAATGAAAAAGAAGAAAGAAAGAAAGAAAGAAAGAAAGAAAGAAAGAAAGAAAGAAAGAAAGAAAGAAAGAAAGAAAGAAAGAAAGAAAGAAAAGAAAGCATTGGATTAGTTTAAAAACACATTGAAGGGGTTAGGGCAGGATGAAACTTGATTGTTTGAGTCACATGTGAACTCATCTTCACAAGAGCTAAGGAAACCTGTGCGAGTGCAGTACCTGGCTTTGGCATATCAAGAAAAGATGTGCTCGCTAAAGAAGGCAGGAGGACAGAGTTGTCCACACCTTGCTCCAACTTGGGCAGGGACACATCCTGGGGAGATGGGGGAGGGAATTCAGTGCCCAGTGCTGGGCAGAGCCCCAACGCTCCTACCCCAGGCCTGTGCTCATGGACAAAGCTTCTGGATCCAGCCTGAGGCAGACAGGAACTTACAGCCTCAGGGAGATGGACCTTGATTTCAGTCTGCTCTGGTGCCAGTCATGCACTAGCCTGCAGGGGGCTCAGGTGTGACTCAGCTCAACAGCAACTGAGGGACTGCTTTCACCAATCCTCCCCTACCTCAGGCAGCTCAGCTCAGAACGATTCCATCGTTMGCCAGTTTCAGCAGGGAAGTGAGTGTAGGGCTGTTAACTTGGARCTGAGTGCTGGGCCTGCCAGTGAAACTCAACACTGGGCAGAACCTCATAGACCTTGCCCCCAGGCTAGAGCTCGAGGACCTGCAACCCAGTGAGATGGACCCGTGCTGTAGCATCCTCTCTGGCTGGTCGCTCTAGTGTCAGGCCACAACCAAACCCTAGGAGTAGGCAGGAAATAGCAGCATGGGCCTTGTTCTTGGCTCTGGTACTGACCTCATCAAGCTGTGGGCTCCAAGCGTGACCCAGCATTTGGTGCCCAGGCATGGACCCTCCACAGTGAGGCCCATTCTGGGCAGAATCCTGCAGTGCCTGAACACAGTCGGTGATTATATATGAGGTGTTTGGGCCAAAAGTGGCCTCAGGTGGAGGCTAGCAGACCCAACAAGGTTGGACTGCTCTCTTTAGGCACTACCCCTGTCCATCATGTATAGTACATCAACTGCAGACTTACAAAAAATTTAGGCAAGGGGCATCCTCTATTACTAAAACAGTGACAACACTCCAACTGTGGGCTCATGGCAAACCTGAATTTAGGGTGCCATCTAGTGCTGAAATCAAGGCATGACCACAGACTCAGAGGACACAATAAACAGCTTGCTTAGAATTTCTGGAAGCATAGACACAAAGCCAAATTATGAACATTGGACTACAYACCTGATCCTTCAATGCATGGATGTTGTCATATGCCATCAAGCATCAAGAACTTTCAGGGAACCTAACCTCATTTAACCCACAAAGCAAGACACCGGAAACCTACCTTAAAGCAATGGATATAAGTGGTATCTCAGAGAATTCAAAATAGCTGTTTTAAGAAAACTCAATGAACTTCAAGAAAACACAGAGAAACAATTCAGTTTTCAGAGAAACTTAACAGAGAGCAAGAAACCTTTAGAGAGGCTAAGAGAAAAAGAGAAGACTCCAATAGTCAGAGCAAAAAAAAAAAAAAAAAGAAAGAAAAGATATTACCACTAACACTCAAAAAATGGAAGGAATTCTAGAGGCTATGATAATCAACTATATACATCAGTAAATTTGATAAATTAGAAGACATGGATAAATTACTGGACATATACCTCTTATAAAGATTGAATCATGAAGAAACAGAAAACATGATCAGACAAAAAATGAGCATTGAGATAAGATCAGTAATAAAAAAGCTCCACTACTGAGCTACCCACAAATCTAGTGGGTAGCTCAGTAGTGGAGTGCAGGCCTGGAATATGTGAGGCCCTGGCTTGAATCCCAGCACTGCACAAAATAAAAAGCAACAAACTCCAAAAACGAACAAAAACCAAATAAGACTCCAATCATCAATAGTTCAAGACTCTATGTCTTTACTGCTGAAGAAGAACTAACATCAATTCTTTTAAATAAAATAATTAAAAATTTGAAGCAAGTGATAATAGAAACACAACATACATGAAATTATGGTATTTTAGAATTATATAGATTATAATTTTTAAATTATTTCTAAAAATTGAAGAAGAGGAAATTCTTCTAAGCTCTTACCGTAAGACCAGCATTACTAAGAAGAAAGCTACAGGTCAATATCCTTGATGAGCACAGATGCAAAAATTCCTTAACAGAATACTAACAAACTGAATTCAACAGCACATGAAAAAGAATATGCACCACGATCAAGTGGTTTAACATTTTCAAATCAATAAACATGATATATCACATCAACAGAATGAAGGACAAAACCCATGTGATCACTTCAATAGACACAGAAAAAGTGTTTGATGAAATTTAACATTCCTTCATGATAAAAACTTGGAACAAATTAGGTACAGAATAAACATACCTCAACCAAATAAAGGTCMTATAATAAGTCGACAGCTAACATCAGACTAATTGGAGAAAAGCTGGAGATTTCTTTCTGAGATCTAGAACATGACAAGGATGTTCACTTTCACAAGTTTTATTCAACACAGTATGAAAATCCTAGCTAGAACAACTAGGAAAGGTAAAGAAATAAAGGGCACCCACATGGTAAGTAGGATGTCAAGTGGGTGCTGAGTGCAGATGGCATGATCTTATGCAGAGCAAACCCCAAAGACTTTACCAAAAACTATTGAAACTTCTTAACAAATTCAGCAGAGTTACAAGGTATAAAGTCAACATACAAAAATCAGAAGTATTTATATTTCTCAATTGTGAGTCACCTGAAAAGGAAATTAAAAAAAGCAATTCCATTTATAATAACTACAAAAATATAAACAATATCAAAGAATAAAGTTAACCAAAAAGGTAAAAGATCTCTACAATGGAAACTATCTAAACATTGATTGAAGAAATCAAAGAGGACACACACACAAGTGGAAAGACACTCCATGTTCATGGATTGAAAGGATCAATTTCGTTAAAATATTCATGCCACCCAAAGTGATCTACAGATTCAATGTGGTCCCTTTGAAAATACCAGTGACATTATTTGCAGAACTACCCCCCAAAATCCTTAAATTTGTTTAGACACACACACACACACACACACACACACACCAAAAATATCTGCCAGATAGCCAAAGCTATGTTGAGTAAAAAGAACAAAACAGTAGACATTATATTCTCTGACTTCAAAATATGTGTATTATGGCTTGGAAATGAAATATTCCTCAAAAGCTCATGAATTGAAGGCTTGGTCCCCAATGTAGCAGKATTCAGAGGTGGGGCTTTTGGAAAGYGATTGGATCGTGAGAGCTGTGATCTCATCAATGGATTAATCTATTGATGGATTAACCAATTCATGGGGTATTAGAAGGTGGGGGAAACTTAGCAGGTGTGGCCTGTTGGAATAAGTAGGTCCTTGGAGGTGTGCCTTCAAGGCCTYATCTTGTCCCTGCATAACCCCCACTCTGCTTTTTGGCCACCACGAAGTTAGCAGGTAACTGTGTTCCACTGTGCACTTCCTACCATGATGTTCTGCTTGCCAAAGGCCCAAACCAACAGGATCTAGTGACCATGGACGAAAAAACTAWGAACCAAAACAAATCTTTTGTCCTTTAAGTTGCTTTTCTCAGATATTTTGTCACAGCAAMACAAAGTGGAATTGCACAATACTACAAAGCTATAGAAATCAAACATCATGGTATAGGCATAAAAAGAGACACATAGACTAATAAAACAGAGGGGAGAATCTAGAAATCAAYCCACAAATCTACAACCATCTGTTCTACAATCAAGTGTGAAGAATATACATTGGGGACAATTTTCTAAAAGAATGGTTCTGAGAAAATCAGGTCCACATGCAGAAGGATGAAACCAGATCCTGTCTCTTATCAAGTATGAAGTATCAACTCAAAACAGGGTGATTGTTTTAATGCAAAACATGAAGAGGAATGCTTTTAAACATTGGAGTGGGCAAAGATTTTGGGGGTTAAAATTCCCAAATCACAGGAAACAAAAGCAAAAATAGACAACTGGGATTTGTCAACCTAACAAGCTTTCACATTCCAAAGGGAAAAAACTAACAAAGTGAAGAATCAGACAGACTKCAGAATTAGATAAAATATATGCCAAATGTCCATCTGATAAGGGTTACTATCCAGAATATATAAGAAACTCAACAGCAAATTATCATCACCATCATCATCATCATCGTTGTCCAATTAAAAAATGGGTAATAGACCTTAATAGACATTTCTCAAAAGACAACATACAAATGGGCAACAGGTATATAAAAAAAATGCTCAACATCACTAGTCATGGAGAAATGCAAATAAACCACTGTGAGATATCAACTGATGCAAGACAGAAAAATCGAGAGAGAGAGAGAGAGAGAGAGAGAGAGAGAGAGAGAGAGAAGTGCTAGCAACGATGTGAGAAAGGAAACCCTTGCACTCTTCGGGGATGTAAATAGTACTGCCATCATCATGGAAAACACTGGGGGGTTCCTAAAAAAAAATTAAATAGAACTGCCTTACAATCCAGTTACCCCACAGCTCGGTGCATATTCAAGGAAAAGTACGTCAAGAGAGTCCTGTACTCACTACAGCACTGTCCCCACCAGCCAAGAAATGGGACCAACGGTGTTCATCAACTGAGTAACGAATACAGAAAGGCTGGCCTGTGTACATGGTAGAATATTATTCAGCCACATCAAGGGTGGAGTCCCGCCATCTTGACAACATGAATGGAATTGGGAGACATCATGTTATGTGGAACAAGCACAGAAAGACCACCGCCACACCATTCACTCATGTGGGATCCTCAAAAGTTTATCTGTGGCAGGTGAGGGGAGGACAGTGTCTCCAGAGGCTGGTGAGGTTCCTGGGGGATGGG